GAGAGAGAGAGAGAGAGAGAGAGAGAGAGAGAGAGAGAGAGAGAGAGAGCGCGCTAAGTGGAAGGATTGGCTTTCCCAATGAAATAGGCTTTAACAGGGAGCTAAAAACAGAAATATTCTTGAATTTTTTAAAAAAGAGATTTGATTTTAAAGTACCAGGAGGCAGTCCTCACTTAGCAACCATAATTGGGATCAGCAGCTTGGTCACTGAGAGCCACTGTCCTAAGTGGAAAATCACATGACCACAAAGGGTTAATAATCTCACTTCCCCTTTGGCTGTTAAGCTGCAGACGCTAAACAAAAAAAAAGCCTTTTGTATTAATTCTACTTGTCACAAAACAGTTGTGATGTACACAAATGACAATCATGTGGCTATGGAACACTGTGACCATTGTAAATGTGAGGATTGGTCACAAAAGTTATTTTTTTTAGCAGCATTGTAACTTCCAATGGTCACTGCATGAGGAAGTTAATAACAAGTTAGTGCAATGGAATGGATGGAAGGGCGGTATAGTCCCTTCCCTTTTTTATCTAAGGCAACTCACCATCTACCCAACTATACTGAATCAAAACTGGTAGTAAAAATAAACTAAAATGAGATTGGGAATGTAGAGCGAGATACGATTAGATATAATTAGTTGACCATTACTGCAACAGGAGCAACCAGTACAGGACTCACTCCGATTTCTTCCTCTGAAGTTTGGTCTCCACTCTTTCACATGGCCAGTTAGATCTGGAACTGTTCTGTCTGTCCAATGGGCTCTTTCACTCCTAAACTCAAATCACCTCTTCCCCTAACAAGTACAGGTAGTCCTCAGCTTATGACCAGTTCAAAGTTACGACAGACCTGGAGGCTATTCAGGACCTGGATTCGAAACGCCAATGGTTGAGCTCCGATCCATGGACATGTGACTGAACTTTGGGTGCTTGGCAACCAGGGCATGTCACAGCTTTTTGCGACATCCCACAGTCATGTGACTGCATTTAAGAATGGTGTTGCCGAAGACCAGCATTTACTCCTGATTTTGGAAAAGCCATTGGTTCATTTAACGACCACAGCACTTCACTTAACAACAATGGCAGCTGCTTTACAACTGCTGCAGCTTAATCACCACCAAGGGGGAAAAAATCAGGCCAGTCACATCACGAACTGGTTTTACAACCATCAGAAATTTATGACCATGATGGGCAGGCTCCATTACACTGATAAGTCGAGTGCTGCCTATATAAGCCAGTAGCAACAAGTCTCCCTTGTTTACTGACCCAAGGACAGGAGAATTCAAAAGAAAACTCCCCAGCTAAAAGAGAGAAGACAACTCTGAATGATAACTAAACCACAATGAAACTCAAAACACTTTTTTTCCACAAAGTAATTGCATTTTTATCTATGTCTGGAACAAACATCTGGGACACAGATGCTTCTGTTTTCTTTTGTGCATGAACCACTATATCTTATTATTTGTTGTGCATGTCTTATTCCTTTTGGCATTTTCTTTAATTCATTAATTGATGAGTTAAAACACAGAAGTTTCATGGTGACGTGCCATTACAATTTCTCTGGAAAAAAAATATAAAAAGTGGATTCAAATGCTTAGAATACTGTTACTCATTATAGTCGTGGTGAGAGTTCAAATTAGTAGTGACAACTACAGGATTTTTCTGAATATTATGAAATCTGGACCCAACCCAAACTTTCATTTTTTAAATGTGATGTCAGAGACTACTTTCTTATCTCCAGCCACATTTTTCCGCTTCCATGAAATTGACTTGTTTATGGAAACTATCTGAGTATTAGCTTTAATATGCGGTATTCTTTGATACACATATTTCTGAGTTCTTGATTGTCACATATATGAATCCAGTCAGATGTTATGCAGTGGCAGGCCACAATCAAGAGCTCGGGTTCCATAAATGCATCTAGATTAGAACAAGCTGGCTGGGGAACTCAGGGAGTTGAAATCCACAAGTCTTAAAGTTGCCAAGGTTGGAGATCTCTGACCTAGAAAGTGAATTTGTTAAAAGAAATCTGCCAGTAAATTAATTTCTTTAAAATGTAGCACAAAAGATACTTCAGACATGGAAACTGGTGGCTAAGGTGTGTCTTCCAATCAGTTGTGTGAGCTTTAGTGGTTCAACATCCACATTAGCAGCAACTGAGAAACAAATGTGAGCAGAAAGGGATATTTTTTATGATTAGATCAAGGAAAGGGCTACTTTGTAAGAGAGAAGGGAGTCTTGCCCAATGCATTGAACTACACTCCCCATTGTTTCTAGTAATCTTACTCAGCAGCTGGTTGCAATTTAACTTCTAATTCAACATATCTGGAGAGTACTGATTTGATGAAGGCTATCGTACTAGTAGGGAATAGATGAACAAAGATGTAGCCATGGCTGGGGTAAAAACCTGTGCTCTGCTTAATTCCTGGAAACTTGGAGGTCACAATGAAGGCAGGCCTGGCCTACTCTGTCGCTATTGTTGCTGTTTAGCTCAGCCCACCCTAAAACTTGAATTGGAAACCACAGTAATGACGAGATGAGGATTGGATGAGGTGTCCTCCTGTATGTAGCATGAAAAATATTATACCCTGGCTTCTGCTGCATGGCTTCGTGAGATAACATTGCTGTAGAAACAAGTGTACTACAGTTCATGCTGTAAAAGTCACATAGATCAGCAGTGCTGCTTGTGGAGGCAAGCAGGAGTAATCAGTTCTTATGTGCCTCCTGGCAACATGGATTCATCACAGTAACAGCAGGGAAACTGGAATTAAAGTGCTTAAACTCTAATTCTAAGCAGCTTCCTGTTTGAACTAAACAAGCAGCTTAATGTGATGAGATCAAGAAATGGTACAATGGTTGCTTAAATTAGTGAAGAGCAGCAGAAGAAACATTTTGTTTAAGAAAGAAAAATAATGTGCTTTTAGGAAGACACATTCTAAGCTGGTGCTTCTGGAAAGCAAATGTCTAATGATTTGGAGTAAAAATATGAGCCAGCGCTTGCAAAAATAGCTTATGAATTAGTCTTGCAGCTAGGAGTCACTGTATTTTAAGTAAATACATTTCTGAAATCTGTGTGCGTATGATTAAATTCTAGCAACTTGATAAAATGCTTAATAAACCAACCTAAAATAATGCTCTCTCAGTTTAGGGCTATCAGTCCTCACTAAAACTAGAACTTTGGTTGTAGGTATCATCAAAGACAGAGAGAAAAACATTTACAGTGCAATCTTATATCCTGTATGTCCATGTAGAAAGAAAATTCACTAAGTTTGGTATTACAGTGAATCCATGAGTTTTTATCATCACTGGATAGCCTTCTAGATTATTTTTATGGAGACAGACATATGCAAATGTTTCATCCAGATACATTTCACATTTCATAGAAAAACCATTTTTTACATTGCTGTAAAGATTCTTGCTTGCACGCTGTATGAATAATTCATCGTTACAAATGAAGGTAGCTTTAGAAATCATTTGAAAAGCTGTGATATACATGATCAGATTTGACCTATATATTATCAATCTACCTGAGCACTTCCAGATACATGATTTTAAAAAAGACCTTTGAATGTTTATATCCCAACCATATTCATGCTAGCTTTCACATAAACTGGTCCCAATAGAAGAAGTCTGAATTCCCTCTAATTCCAGCTGATGCCCACATCTGGGAAGACTGAAAAAGCACTTCCAGATTTTACCACAAAGAGTTACAAAGGAAAGGCAATGAGGTTGCATAAGGAAGCTGCTCACAGCAAGTTGTCCCACATTTGATTTGATTTCCATGGTAATTTCCTCCTTAATAATTAGTGTGACTGTTGTTTTTTTCCTAAAGGACTGTGTGTCACAGTAACTCCCACAACCATTTTGATTTTCCTTTCTGGCATTTCATGCTGTTAAAGTATAATCCTTCCTCTTTTGTAAGCACATTTAAAATATTCCATTCCAGAAGACCCCTTCTAGAACAGCGTTTTTTAAACTTAACAATTGTAAGATGTGTGGACTACAATTCCCAAAATGCCCCAACCAGTGATGATAATGAATTCTGGGAGTTATAGTTCACATATCTTACAGTTGTTTAGAATAAAGCAGTCATAACCAATCTCTATAAGATTCATCACCTTATTCCTAGAGATTTCAGGGCATCTGCAGATAGCTTATCTTTTCTCATGTTTACCATCCAATCCTCTGGACATAGCCATATGCTAGCGTCATCATAGTTGTTGGAACAGGTGCCCAAATGCAGAATGCTGCCATAGCCCCATTTCAAGTCTTGGTCACAGACTTACTATACAGTGAAGTTCTCATTTTGGGTGTCTGGGAAGTTTTTGAGGATTTTCATTGCTTTGTTTACCATTTTCTACAGTTGGTCTTTTCACACTTTGGGATTTTTGGCAAAACAAGGAATAAATGGACAGAAATAAGTGTGGCATAATAATGGAGGATCTGTGTGTGTTACTAGTCATTCTCTTTTCTTCTGTGAAGAGAGATCTTAAACCATGAGGAACTTGTACAGGCATGATAAGATGCTTGGTTCTTGGTCATCTTGGAAAAGAGCAACTGAACACTAATTGGCAGATACTTCTCTATGCTCAAGCATTGGCCCATGAATGCTCTCTGCTAGCTCTAGGCTTGTAAACATACAGGTATGACTTGGCTCATGGCTTCATAAGGTCATCACAAATTTACAGAGAGTGAAGAACACATCAGTCATGTCTGGGTGGATCTGGAGGTCTTCCCAGAGAAAAATATTCCAAAAGTGCATTCACTGTATCTTTAGCATGCACTCCCAGTTTCAGTGTTGACATAATTCTGGGTGGCATAGAAATAACTAATGCATATTTAATACCTGTTATTTGTTCAGACTGGCCCTTGCCTAACAGAGAGCAGCTTTAAAAATATTTGGCCCAAGAAAGAGAGGCATTTCATGTATGGGAATGGGAAATAACCTGTGGAACTAAAGGGCAGGCTTCCTTTTATTTACCATTTAGACCACCGAGGTTTTTTAGGCTCGGGGATACATCCTACTAAGCAATGGTTTGCTTTAATAAATTGCTGAGCAAGACCCATGGCAGAATTTACATTAAATCAAGAACAAACAAATCGTATTATGGCATAAAACAGTATATTAAGCCAGGATCCACAGGCTATATTAATACATATTATGGTTTAAGGTTAAATGTTGTGGGAAACATACTGGTTTATGTTAACAGTATATTGCAGAAAGTTATCCAACTATAGTTCATTCCGTAGATATGATGTAATATATTTGAGCTAAGCCATTGTTTCACATGTCATCTTTTTTAAGTTGGGTCAAGCACTACAAAGCTAGTCCTTGACTTACAACCACAATGGAGACCAAAACCAGAATTTGTTGCCAAGCACCCAAATTTTGAACACATAACAGGTGAATTCTGTGACTGGTTCTGATTCACTTTTTTCCGTGTTATTGTAAATTTGAACAGTGGCTAAACAAATGGTTGAAAGTCGAGGACTATAATTGCTCTCCTGTAATAAGATTTAACATATAAGCATGGACATCAGAGGAGAATCTTCTGAGATCACTGATCATCTATATTCTCCATGATGTAGACTAGTCATAATGGCTAATTTTTCATGTTGCACTAAGCTATCATATGATTTTGTTTTATTTTTGCTTTGGTGCAAGGCATGAATCTAGTCATGTTTTGCAAATCCTGGTGTATGGTTTAGTTATAATGCCTGCTGTCTGTGCATGGATGCTAGGAGTGGATGAAGCCTATTTAGAACTTGAAAGATCACAAGGAAATCTCTAAACTTCGGTAAGACTTGGGAAGTTGAAAAGTATTCTTGAAAAAGCAATGGCAAGCCATGATAATAGTGTTGTGAAAGAGACTACTGTGAATGAGATCACTAAGTCATGCTTATTGAGACCTGTGTATGAACAAGGACATTATGGTTGATTTAGCAAACCAACCAACCAAGCCCTAATAGAATGACTGATCTAAAGGAGCAAATTCATCAATATAGTAGTTGAATATATTTCCAGTGGTGATCTCACAATAACTACAGTAGGAAAGCAATCATAGTTAACTCAGAGCATCCTCTGTTTGTCTGCAAAGTAGTTCTGACCTTAAGCTGTTTTTCATTACAGGTGCTGGTGAGTCAGGGAAGAGTACAATTGTCAAACAGATGAAGTGAGTACCTTCATGATCAGAGATCAGGAGCTCAAAAGTTAGCTGTATCATTTTTAATTAGATGTTGTTCCACATTGGTTCACATTTATAGATACTTTTCAGGTTGTTGGCAGCAGGACTGGGCTGAGGCAAATAACTTAAACTGATTATGGAAGGCTTAGGACACATAAAAATAGCATGTGGTTAAATCAACTGAGGATAACAAGTGGCAACTGCTTGCTTCACAAATTGATTCTGAGCAGGATCAAGAGAAAATACCTTTTCATACAACAGCACATAACTGAGCCATCAATAACTGCTTGCCTGCATATATGGTTTAAAAAAACTCCCATAAGTTTGGATGTCCTTGTTTTAGACTACTTGATGGAAATGACCATTTGGGTAGCTCTTCCTTTAGCGTGGTTTTTACTTGGTCTTTTTAAATGAACATTGTGGGAACTAAATTAAGTTTAAGACTAGTGTAATTCTAGGCAAGTGCAAGCTGTGCTGAAGATGGAGTGCACAATTATCCACGCAGCAAGCATTAATTATTGCTACAAGACTCATCAACTGAGTATCAAAATTAGGGTGGTGAAGCATTTGGCATTTAAATTCCAAAAAGTGCTTCAGAGTGCATAGGGGCAAGAACAAGGCCTTATCAATAACACCTTCTTGGGGGAAAGTGCGCCTGCTTTTACTTGTAGCAGACAAGTAGTATGTTCCCATTCATGCAAGAACACAGAAGTTCTGCTGAACTTCTACAGCAGAAAATTGATGTGCCAAGCTGATGTTTGGATGACCCAGGCTAACAGTACTCATAGCTTGGGACAAACTTAAATACTCAAATTCTCTGCTAGATGAATTGCTATAAAAAACAGCAGTGGGGAGAAGAGGGAAAGGAGTTGATAATGGAAGCTATGATGTTGAGAATGTTAAGGAGGAATGGCTGAGGAGATCAGAGTTTAGACACAACAGGCTCCACCAGATATTAACATTTAACTTAGTGAATAAGTACCAATCAGTGGTGGGATTCAATTTTTTTTTACTACCGTTCTGTGGGCGTGGCTTGGTGGGCGTGGCAGGGGAAGGATGCTGTAAAATCTCCAGTCAGAGGTGGTATTTGCCGGTTCTCTGAACTACTCAAAATTTCCGCTACCGGTTCTCCAGAACTGGTCAGAACCTGCTGAATACCACCTCTGGTACCAATACTCAGATTTCTCTCCAATCTTTGTTGAAATGCACAGAGTCCTTGGCGGGTGGAGAGTAAAATCAAAAACAAACTAGTGCTAAAGCTTTGGGATAAAATCTATGGTAGCATTTCATATTCAGGACCTGGATATTTTTTTTCTGCAGAATTATCCATCAGGATGGCTACACAGAAGAAGAATGTCTGGAGTTCAAAGCAATCATATATAGCAACATACTTCAATCCATCTTATCAATTGTCAGAGCCATGTCTACTCTAGGCATAGATTTTGCCGATTCAGCCCGAGCGGTGAGTGCTACCAATAGCACACTGTACTTGTAACATGTGTCCTCCAGAAAGCAATGGCAATGGCTAAAAATCAGAATGCAATACAAGAAGGTTGGTTGGAGGTGTTGAAAAAGTGAAAAGGTGGTCACTATGGTATAATTGAAGCCTTGAGATAGATAGATAGATAGATAATAGATAGATAGATAGATAGATAGATAGATAGATAGATAGATAGATAGATAGATA